GTGTGCAGGACTATTTGTTTATGCTTGTGCATGTTTGCAGGACTGAGAAAGAGAGGTGAATAATACACAGTAATTGTTATGTGTTATAAAATGTATGAAGAAAAAGAAGAAACTATTAAAAGTAGGTACTTAGGAAACAATAAAGAAGTGGAAATTATTGTATTTGTAGTCTGGGCATAGCTCATTATTTTGCTTGTAGGGACAAAGACAAAGTGTCCTTTCATTTCATATATAACATTCCAGGTAGGATAAATTTGAGGCTGCTTCCTGGCTTCTCAAACGATCTTTGTCTCTCTCTCCCTTTTTTTTAGTACTTCACCTTTCTCTGTAACCTCCTGATTATATGGCAAGAAACCAGATTCACTTATCTCCTCTTCCTACAGAAAACAGGGATGGGATTTTTGAGATTTTTATCTCCTTTTCCTCATATGAGTTACTCGAGTAGAGCTTGCTTCTTTAGCTGGCTATATCTTTTCTAGACAACACAATAAAATTCGCATTGTTCTTGTCAATGATAAAGCTTCTTAGGGAGTTCTTGTCCCTGAGATCATACTGTTCCTTAGAAGGTTGCTGCATTTCTGTCTCTCTGTGTTTTTGCATTGGTTGTATTAATTCTTATGGGGAAAATTGGTTTGTTATCTGCTGGATTTTTAAGTGTCTCACTTTTCAGGAACATGTCTTCAGCAAACAGCAGGGTATGGCTGTGTTTCCTATTTGTGTATGTGTGCAGGACTATTTGTTTATGCTTGTGCATGTTTGCAGGACTGAGAAAGAGAGGTGAATAATACACAGTAATTGTTATGTGTTATAAAATGTATGAAGAAAAAGAAGAAACTATTAAAAGTAGGTACTTAGGAAACAATAAAGAAGTGGAAATTATTGTATTTGTAGTCTGGGCATAGCTCATTATTTTGCTTGTAGGGACAAAGACAAAGTGTCCTTTCATTTCATATATAACATTCCAGGTAGGATAAATTTGAGGCTGCTTCCTGGCTTCTCAAACGATCTTTGTCTCTCTCTCCCTTTTTTTTAGTACTTCACCTTTCTCTGTAACCTCCTGATTATATGGCAAGAAACCAGATTCACTTATCTCCTCTTCCTACAGAAAACAGGGATGGGATTTTTGAGATTTTTATCTCCTTTTCCTCATATGAGTTACTCGAGTAGAGCTTGCTTCTTTAGCTGGCTATATCTTTTCTAGACAACACAATAAAATTCGCATTGTTCTTGTCAATGATAAAGCTTCTTAGGGAGTTCTTGTCCCTGAGATCATACTGTTCCTTAGAAGGTTTGCTGCATTTTATAGGTACAAAAAAACCCCTAAAAGTACAGCAATATTAGCATCCCATAACTCAGGATAAAATTATTGCATCAGATGACATTTGGAAAATTATCTTTGTTGGAATAGGTTTTTAGAAATGAAGAGTTACATTCAGAAGGCTTCATAGTTATCTCCTCTCTGTATGCTCAGAGGAAGTAATTACTCTTCACTGTATAGTATATTTTTCAGTTTGTCTTCTTACATTCTCATTTTTCAGCATTTATCATTAGCTCACTTTTTGTCATTCCAAGTCTTTTTGGTAGGAAAACATAAATGACTGTCATCCAAACTGCTTTGTACTATTTCAACTCTTAGCTGTCCATGCCAACCTCTTCCTCCCTTTGTAACTTGCTAGTTGACCAAATTATTTTTCTGTTCCTCTTTTTTTTCTTTTAAGTGCCATTTCTGTTTGTTAACACTTTTTCCTATTAAATGAAACCACAATCTTCCCAAAGGATTTGTTTCTTAAAAAAAAAAGATAGTAACAACTTAAAAGGAAAAAATTCCATATGTTAGAAAAATATGGATAATTAACCCAAATATTTTTGGTCAGAGTTCCAGACCAATGAATAATTTCCGTGAGCCACTGGTCTAGCACTCTGGTGATGTGACTGTTGGACATGTTGGAGAAACCACAATGAGAGCCAGACTCTGCCTCATTAAAGCTATTGGGAAATTTTCTCAAATGTATTTTGCCGTGAGTGAAATAAAATTCTTCATTTGTTACTCCTCCACCTCTCCTCAAAAAAAATACCACCACCCCCAAAAAAACCCAGTGAGGTTGCTGTGGGTCTAAGTATGTGTCTTTCATCACAGACACTTTTACATCTTAATTCTACATCCCATTCTTGAATTCTGTCATAAAGTTTCTCTAATCTAGATGTTTCTTGTGACCAACTGAAACTCAGCTGGCTAAAGTGATCCAAAGCTTTTCCCTCTGCAAGCTTCGTAAGTAGTGTGCCACTTCTCATCGTCATAAATCAGTTGGCAACCTTCAGCACCTTAAGCTATACCCTTCCTGAAACTTTAATTTTCCTCAGCTTCCACGAACTTCTCTTCTCGTGTATTTCTCTTAATCCTTCTATAAAGCTCTTTGCTGTTGTCAGCTGTCATGCTGTTGGTAATAGTTAGTTTGCTAGTTTAATGATACATCTGCTTCTGCTTGTCTTTTTTTAGGCACCATTTCTTTTCTTTTACTTAGATAATGCCACCTTTGGGCCAGGAAGAAACAAAATTACCTCTTCTTGTTCTGTCTTTCTGTAGCACTTAACAGAGCACCATTTTGGCCTGTGGTTAGAGCTCCTCTGGGATAGCAGCAAAAGTTCTTTTGTTACTCCTAATTAAAGTGTGTGGAAACCAGAATTGAGGCCTAGGAGTTTTTATGCAGTTATGCTAAAAGGTTCAACGTAGCACAATCCGCTACAGAAAGGCAAAAGATATTGCAGGAATCTTGGTTACTTAATTCCTCTGTTGGTCTTGTGGAAAAAAGATTGCTTTTTCTTGCAAAACTTGCCTTCTTTCTAAATCAAGCGATAAACTCCATTGTCATTTTTTAAATATTCGTTTCTTGGTCAGAGCTCCCTTGGAGAAAGCCATTGATAAGGGAAAATCTTCATGTGGCGTCTGAGTCGTCTCTTCACTCACAAAACCAAAATAAGTAATTCTGTGACCAGCAGGACTTTTGAAGCGGACTTGCTGTGGCCATATATGAGTGAATTGTCCTAACTAATGTTTGAAGATGCCTTACAGCAAGGGCACGAATTTGGATCTTTTGTAAGGCCGTTGGTTACTGAAAGCTTTGACATCTCTACTGTCTGTCAAATCTATCTGAAATTGCTCCAGAAATATCGGATGACTTAAAAACATTGAAACGGAGGGAAGTATAGTTGATCATAAATGATATGATATGATATGATCTTAGGAGCCTCGTTTCCTTGGGAAAAATAGATTAAAAATCCTCTAACCCTAAACTATTCTTATTTCCTGCAGTCTTTAAAAATTTGTTTTCCCAGCTTTGCATAGATACAGTGTCTTGAGCTTGTGGAATTGTGTTATCCCACATCATGCTCGTGTGGTCTGCCTGACCTTTATTTTTTTGTCTATGCCAATCATTTACCTGTATTCATGGAGTCTAGTAATAAATACCAAAGTCAACAAAGCTTCAAGTCAAATGAAAACTGTTGTTCTTTTAGTAAATTACTGTAACTATTATCACAACATGAAAACTGAAGAAGAGGATGGTAAAGTGGCTTCTGATGGAGGAAATGTCAAATGACTTGAGGCTGCCAACATATAATTGTTTAATTTTCTACCATAATGGAAATTTCAAAGTAGAAATAAATGCACATTAAATCACATTAAACATAAAAGATATATTTGCATGATTTGCAGAAAGCAAAACAAACTGACCACATCAAGTGTTAATATTGATCAAATAATTACATTTTAGTGGTTACTAGACATCAGAATAACCTGTCTTTCAGGAAATATCTGCAACCTACACCTCATGCAAAATTAAATTAAAATCAGATTTTTAATATCTTTATTTTAATTATCTTTTCTCCTAACATTTTTTCTAATTTTAATTAAATTTTAATATGCCACATTTATGAATATAGTACTGCAGGTTTATTTTTAAATTAGACTAATTTAAGCTATTTTAGACTAATTGGTCTGAACTTCATTACTGTCTCCTTTCCTTGATATTGTAGTATTTTATTAAAAAATGTCCAGTTTTATTATGTATATAGTAGCTCTTTATATTTAATGTAATTTGTATGCTTGCTTCAGAGAAAATTCAATTACTATGATTTTAAATTAGCATGCTTTTGAATTGTACGTATCAATATCGGTTTGTCATCTTTTTATGGGCATGGAGGGCAGCGACTGTTAACACCCAGGCCTCTGCCACCCAGAATATTGCTTTGGGCTTACCACCTCTGATAGTGTTTTGAAAGTTAGGGTTTTTTTCCGTATTTTTTCCATGCTCCTTGCCATTAGCATCGAGTAGGAGGAACAGCAGTGGCCCCACAGTGCATCATGTGGGTTCCATTTGTCCATATCCTTGCACCTTGCAGAAATACGTTTCTTTGGGGACCTACTGCTTTCAAGGCCGCTGGAAGTCTAGGGCTGCACACAGTATCTGCCTGAAGACTTTGGCTTCCTGGGCTTCCAAAGCCTGAAGACTTTGGCTTCCTGGGCTTTAAAAAGGCAAAAGCTAGGCCCTTACCAATTCACTTACAGTCCACATTGCTGTCTCTTTCTTTCACTGGAAAGTACACCGGTTTGTGGAACTTCCTCACCCACCAACTTTCCCTTTTTACCTTCAGATTTCTTTCAACTTAGGCAGTTGAATGTTGGAGGAGATTGGCATTTCTACAATACTTGCTTTGGAAAGATACTGGGTGATCTGAAAATTTAAACCGGTATCTTGTGTCTTCTGTAGAGTTAAAATATTTTAAAGCTTGAATATATACTTTTTACTTTTTTGCAGATCCAGTCTTGCTTATGGAATTGTTGAAGATCTGAGATCAATGAAAAAACACTTTTGCATGCAAAAAAGGATCATTTTGGTTTACCTGTTTTAAAATCAAGTGTGGCACTTGATGACTCATCTACAAGGTTTCTTCACTGACGTCTGAAGAACAAAGTGCTTTTCAACCTGTACTTCTGTAGCACTATGACTAACTGTAAAGGCAGATCTACCATCTCCAAAACAAATAGCAAAGTTCATGACAGAGAAGGTTTTGTAAACTGGACCATAAATCTTAATACAATTCAGTCTGATAAATTTTTGAGACTGCTTTTGAGTATGGTTCCTGTTGTTTACCAAATAAACCAGGATGAAAGACACAAAAAAGTGAATGGTGTCTGGCAAGATGGATTACAACAGGCAGGCCACAATTTTAGTGTTAGGTCTGAACAACACACAGAGTACCATCACTTCTCAGAACCAAGTTTTCATGGTAGTAATGGACACAGCCCATCTAGCTGTAGCCCTAAATATGATGATTTTACCAGTTATAATTACTGTGATGGAATGGACACTTCAGAAACAGATGCCATGTTGCAGGAAGACAACCTATCTAGTGACAGTAATGAAGATATCATTGTGGAAGGGAGTAGAAAACAACCCAAAGAATCTAGTAGTATTATGGCATTACAGATACTCGTACCTTTTTTGTTAGCAGGATTTGGAACAGTTTCTGCTGGCATGGTTTTGGATATTGTACAGGTTGGTATTTGCTTTGGAAGATATTTTTTTTAACAGGTAGTCTGTGGGGTTTATAATTCTAACGCGTGATACTGTAGATGTTTACAATATTGGGGAGTAATTAGGTCTGTGTATGATTCTGCTACTATGAACTCCTTTTCCCCAAACTTCATCTTAAACAGATCCAATGTTTACTTTGGAGTCATTTGAGTCTTGGTAAGTGTTGTCGCTTAGCCACAGTAAGCTGGTGAATAAACCTGTTACCTTCTGCTTTAACTAAGGATAGAAATATAGTAACGATGCAAAATTCTGTTGACACTAGTAAACGTATACATAGTCAAGTGGAAGTTGTAATTAACTGTGAAGCCGCAATACATAGGAGTTTAAAAAGATTAGAAGAATTTACTGCATTATCTCATCTCCTTGTGTGCTTTGAGTCTGTGCAATTTCTGAAATACTGTGTAGATTTGGTCCATGATAATGCATATGGTATATGAAAAGTGCATTACATTCATATGTTATATGAAATTCATATGAAGTGATTGAGAGCTTTTTTGAATATTCAGGTGTATTTAAATGACTTTTTTATATAACATTAGGCATACTGAACACTCGGAATTACAAACATGAGTGGTGTGAACAGGGCTGCAAAGTCATGTCCACCTTGAAATATAATTGTAGTAGGTCCAGAGAAGCCAGATTATCTTGATTTGTGATTGCAGATTTAACTGATGATAGTTATTCAGGGTTAAGATAAAATAGAATTTTCTCTGAATTTTAAGATTTAAGTTTAATAATATTTTTAAAACCTGTTTTGGAGTATTATATCACTAAAACCCTACTGATATGGAACATTTTTAGGACTGATTTCTAGCTTAACACAGTTGTAGATGTCAGCAGCACTTCAGTGGAGTTAAAAGTAACAGTTGCCTATGAAATAATTCTTTGTGCAGTAATATTTGAAGAAAATTCTGGAGAATGTAATGGTTAAGAAAGGTTTATTGGACTAGCCTATTTTCTTGCTTTGTCTTTGTATTTTGATGGCTATATTTAATTTTATTTCCTACCTAATTTCTGTTTCTTAAAAACCAGAAATTTCTTATAAATACAAACCTCATGGATTCTCTCTTTCTGTATGAGCAGATTCACAAAAAATTATTCAAAAAATATTAAATAAACACAGTATTCAAACTGAAAGACAGTAGAGAAGTTAATCTTTTTTCTTTCATTTTGTTTTGTTTCATTCAACTTTAGGGTTTTCTTTAGCTACATGTAAATAGTTTACAAAGTTAATTTAAAGAGGAGTAAGAGGGGACCATCTTTGTCACTCAAAATCTTGAGAGAGTAAAGGAAGCTTGGAGTTCAATCAATTGCAATGAAAAGACACTTTCATACATCAAGAAAAAGGAAAATAAAAATTGACATGCTGTACTGGTTTCAGCTGGGATTGAGTTAATTTCCTTCCTGGTAACTGGTGCAGTGCTGCGTTTTGGATTTAGTATGAGAATAATGTTGCTAACACAGTGACGTTTTAGTTGTTGCTAAGCAGTGCTTACGCTAAATCAAGCACCTTTCAGCTTCCCATGCTCTACCGACTGAGAAGGCTGGAGGTGCACAAGAAGCTGGGAGGGGGCACAGCCAGGACAGCTGACCCAAACTGGCCCAAGGTGCTTTGTATATTCTTTTATTATTATTATTATTACTATTTTATTTTATTTTATTTTATTTCAATTATTAAACTGTTCTTATCTCAACCTATGAGTTTTCTTACTTTCACTCTTCCAATTCTCTCCCCCATCCCACCGGCGGGCAGTGAGCGAGCGGCTGTGTGGGGGTCAGTTGCTGGCTGGGGTTAAACCACGACACATGCAAACTTTACTGCTTCCTTGCACTGTTTTACATCAATCTTGTGCTTTGTTCATTTACATCTTACCGATTTATTCTTCATACAGATGCTTTGTTTGTATTCTGTTAATATACAATTTACTTCATGATACAGCATAATGATGAGCCAAAAGAGGCAATTGTGCCTACTGCCACTACTGGGTTCCAGCCCAATGTTTCACCTTGCCTTCCTTCCCTTAAGGGAATGTAAGTATTTGTGTAGCTGGTTTTTGAGCTGGATTGAGATATATCTTGATTTTTCCTTCTGTGTTACTTTTAATCTTCATTTGTTTCCCAGTCCAGCTCACCATGTGCGAGAGACATGTGACACAAAGGCAAAAATAAATAGCTAGTGTCAGTACTACCTTTTTTCACCTTAAACTAAGCATTAAACTGTGATGTCAGCAGGATATTGAAATGTGACAGGACATGTTTTGAAAATGAAAATTTGAAGACAACAAAGCATTCTAAGCTTGTTTTTTTACAAACCATTTCATAGCTATTCTTTCCCAGTAGTAAATGCATATTAAACTTCACATATAGGAAATTCTCAGATCTTGTTTACATTTGAGAATGGAATAATTTTTAAAATTAAATTAATAATTTAAATCGTTGCAAATCCCTGAATACAAAGACAATTTACAGTTTTGTTATTTTAGTTTAGTTAAAGTTGATGATTACAAATTAAATGCATGGATTGACAGACATATAAAGTAGCACAGCATTTCTGTGCTGAGAACTCAGCGCACACAAAAGATTATGGGAGAGTTTCTCTTTGTTTGCTTTATAAAATCTGGGTTTTGGAGAACTGTACTCTTCTAAATTTCACACTTAGAAGTAAAAGAATTAAGAGAAGATTTTTCACTTATAGGCTCCGTCCATTTGACAACTAATTCCTTGCTGTTTTTATGTGAGGTTTCTACATAGCTGGAAGGGAAAAGATGAAAATATTTTTGTAAATTAAGAGCAGAATTCAAGAGCGGTCATAGCACCTGGTACTATTTTAAAGTCGTGGAAAAAAAACCTTCAAATTAATGACATCTTTTTTTAACTAGGTTTGTTTTAAGGCCAAGTTTTGTATCTCTTACTTTTGGTATTCTCATCTTTGAAGTAGTAATATACAGTCATAAATCTATTTTATCTACATAGATAACAGTTTTGGCTTTAGACTTTTAGGTCTAGTATAAAAATACTGATTTTTTTAGAGGCTTAAGTTATGAGTCCAGAATTTTTTGAATACTTTGCAGATGGTCTAAAGAGAATTTTTCAATTGAAGTTTTCCCACTATATCCTTTAAATAGCACTGGGATGTGTTCAAGAATGTTACTGAAGTTTTTATCTTGGTTCCTGCACTTCTTGGTCTCAAAGGAAATTTGGAAATGACCTTGGCATCCCGGCTGTCAACTGCTGTGAGTAACTTTCTTTTCCCCTTCCCTCTCCAGATACATGTTGGAAATATTTCAAAAGTAAAACAAATCTTTGGAACACAAGTGTTTTATGTTTATGGCTTAATCTGGCTGTTAAGGGGGCTCTTTAAATCTGTTATTAAATTGGAAAAGTTAAAAAGGCGACCCTCTTCTAATCTCCACACATCAAAATTTTACTTCTTTGGTCTCTTCTGCGTCATCATTCAGAACAGATAAAGTAGATTTTTGAGATTTAAATGTGTATTCTGTAAGGTTGATGGATCGCTTTGGCCTTGATGGGGTTTGAATAGGGTAACAAAACGTGTACATTTTGAACACATTTTTCTAAAGACCATTTGTGTGGCACCAAAATGAAGCTTTGCTCCCATTGCTACTCCAGACCTTTGTTGATCAAACTGTAAGAAACTCTTTTGTAGCTTTCTGGCTAAATAATTTTATTTCTTTTTTTTTGTTGTTGTGGTGGGTTTTTTTGGGTGTGCTTGTTTTTTTGTGTGCGTCAACACTGTAACATAGCATAACTAGGTTTTCTTTATGTCTTCTTTCTTGTGTATTTGTCATAGTTCTTTTCTACATCTCAGGAGAAGTTCCATCCCTTCATTTTTTTAGCCTGAGCAAGCCAGATTACCTTACCATATATCTTTGCTCTGTGTGTGGATAACTATCGTTAACAGAATGTTCTAATAACGTGGCTAAACTATTTCTGGTACCTGAACTGGGTATCTCCGTATGACACTGCCTTATGCTGTGTTTCTCCTTTGTAAGATAATTTTTCTGTTCTCCAGCAAGGCCCCCCTCTTTCTGCCTGTTCCTGCATGAATGAATCTTTCTAGAAAATGTTTGGTCAAAGGTGTATATAACTCCAGATGAGACTTCACTGTGGCTTTGTAGACTAGCACTTCCTTATTTCTCTCGAAAATTGCTCTTGAAACTTTCTAAGTTTATATGTGCTTATTTTCCTAGCCGTGTCATATTTAGACCTTACAGTCACTTTGTGATCAATTACTGTGTCCTAGTATTTCTCCTTTTGTGTTATTTCCAGCTGTCACTCCCATCTTCTGGCAGAAATATTATTAGTCCGTAAGTGCATGACCTTGCATTTCTACTTTTGAATTTAATCTGTTTTCGTTGCTGTAATCCTCAAGGTCATCCAGTTTTTGTATGATATTACAATGCTTTATATTGACAAGGTCTCCCAGCTTTCTGTCATTAATAAGTTTCATTGCCACATTATATTGAGTCATTGCCCAAATGCACACCGTGATGGACATAGCCTTAGCAGTCCTATGAAGGTTTGCTTGTGTCATGCCCATTATAGAAATTGATTACTTTTGCCCCATATCCATTCGTTCATACATAAGAATTGACATGTTTTGTTGTATCTTTGTCAATGGCAGCTTTATCTATTCAGTCGTGTTCTCTGGTTGATTTTAATGCTCTTACTTTTCTGAGTATTCTTACTGTTTCTTAACAATATTTTGTGTTTAAACCTTACTGCCTTTACTGTCAGCGTGAATACTTTTGTCTTTTACCTTACTTTTTTTTGTGTTGACCTGTTTCTTAATTTGTTCCTGACTGGTACAGTTCGTGGCCTGAGGATTGAAAGTGCATGTATTGCATAGTGAAAAATACACCAAGTCCAAGATCTACCAGTGCCTTACTGAAGGCTTAAAAAAAGAGGGTCAGAATCAGCTCCGCCACTTCTGCTTCAGTTAATGGGATCTTTAATTCTTCGTCTCAACTGACCTTATGACCTTTGCCAGATCACGGCTCCAGAACTGCTTGTCTGGTCCAATCAATGGCTGATTTCCCCATCCTCACCAATTCCATCTCATTTGTGAACCTCGCAGCTCTAAGGGGACATTTGGAAAAGGGTCATGCAGACCCTTTTTCTGCACTGGGAATCCTGACCTCAGTTCATATTATACATCAGCTGTTACCAAAAGTCAAGGAGTTGATCCCCCTCTCACACACACAGATAAAGGATACTGGAGTTTCCACAACACTGGCTGCATGTTCAGTGGTTAGCTAAAGTTGGCATCATGAGGTTCAGGCCACTCCCCTCAGCCCAAAGTGGCATTCTTAAGAGTATCCCGGTAACTGTGTGCTAACATGATCCGTAGATGTCTTGAACGTGATTTTTCAGAGCCAGTTTGGCCATTTGAAGTCCAAGCTCCTACCAAGACTCAAACAGCCCATTCTGAGAGGGCTTAGTTTGAGGAGTGTTACCAGTGCCACTTACCACTGTCATTAAGTCTCACCAAGACATAAATCAGCTAATGCTTCAGAGGTTTTTACTCAAGCATGCCATGAATGCCATGTATGTCTGTCTTGGCCAAATCAGGTTAGCCAGCTCTGTTCACGTCCTTCCACCATGAAGGTTAATTAACTGGCTAAGAAGAAGTCCGTGAAGTATACATTTCTTCAGACAGTGCTATGTGGTGTGTGGGACTTCCAGTTTCTTTGGCATTGCCTGATGTCACAGTCACAGCACCACTGGCACTGAGCTATTTCCCAGCTTTGCATTAACAGACTTGTTTGTTTGTTTTCTGATGCCTCTGATTTCCTTGTATGACCTGTTTTCTTCAAGAATCATGACAGACCCTGGACTAAGTTACACAGGTGATTGAAATACTTTCCGGAACTTCCTTAGTCATACTTTAATTTCATTGGACATCCTTCACGGGGAGCAGGTAGAGGCTTGTCACGGTTCGGTGAATGTTCTCTCTTTTGCCATTGGTGGCTCTAATTTGTTCTAGCGGGTGAAGAGCTCATCAGTAAATGTTGTAGAGTGTGTGTGTGTGTATGCGCATGTGCACAACACAGTGGAGGTTTAAGAGAACAATACTGTACAAAATAAGAACAATATAGATCATTCATTATCAGGATAATGCTAGCAAGATTATATTTAGTTTTTACATGTGAAAAACCAGAAAAAAATGGCTTTTATCTTGCAGAGAACCTTCCAACTTTCTCTTATGTGTCTTTTTTCATGCTCAACATCAGTTGCAATGTGCAGAGCTCTGCCAGCTGGTGGATAGCCAGCTGCATCCCCCAGAGTGCTACTGCAAAGGCAAACAAATACACAAGAACTCAGTAATGTTTCTAATTGTTAGTTAAAAAAAACCAAAAACAAAACAAGGAACTATGGAAACCTGTTGTATGTTACATGTAACTTCCTTACAGGTGACAACTTGGGCTTAGTTGCCTGATACAAATTTAAACTCCAGGACAGTTGCCTTGATTGCTCTGCTTCCCCCAGGTTTTAAAACAGGTGCTGTGTCATATTATATCATTCCTTACTGGAGGGTCCAATCAAAAAGCTTACTACTGGACCTGTAATTTATGTGCCAGTTCTCTCAGACCTCTGTGACAGAGGTTATTCTGACCTTTGTACTCTTCACAATGATTTCATTGACCCACTACTCTCTTTAGCCATCCAATCTTTAGTACTGTCATCCTCATCCTGGGTGAAAACTGAAGGAATATATTAATTCAGGGCATATCTGAACAGTTATTTGGAGGCAGTTGTATGATTAATCTTCCTTTCTCTGACCTAAATTTGCACTAGCTGGCTCCCCACCAGATACTGTCTTTACAGTAAATGCAAGACTGTGCCCTGTGAATAGCTTTACCTTTGAGGATGAAATTTCTAATGTGAGTTCAGTATTGGAGCTAATTCATACCCTTCTTGCTCCGTTAGCTTATAATTGCATCTGAATTTGTAGACATGTCTATGCTGTTGGGGCTGTAAACTACTTATCTTTACTCCATTGTAATTATGTAGTCAGCCAAAAAGTAATGTCTTGTTAGCAAATTTCTGTTATCCATAATACATCTGGTTTCAAGTTTTGCCTGATCACCTTCATTCATCTTGTTGCCCAAATTCCTACTTTAGCTGCTTGTTACTGGTCACTCACAATTTCCCATCCACTTTAGAATCAGTCATTTCACTAAATCTGTCTCAAGACTGCTTTTAATCTACCTCAGGGCATAGCTTGTACTTCTCTTTGATGTTAGTGTTAATGTAAACCGTTCTCCCTCCCCCCACTGCTGTGCTGGCATAAGTGTGTGAGGTGTACTTAGGTCAACTGCCCATTCAAGCACAATATTTATATTGTGTGTTTTGTATTCTTCGGCTTTGTTCTGTAGTTTGAGTCACTCTCATTGTCTCGGTTCACACTGTTGCCTTTTCTCCCTATTCCTTTTACTTTCTTTTAAGAGGAAGTAAAAAAAAAAAACAACCATCCAACACCAAAACACCACTCATCCAGTCATCCCTGTAAACTTATGCAGACTCTTGTTTTGACTGTGTGTTATCAGGGTTAGGCATTAGCAATATGACTTTACAAACTTTTTGTTTAGGTCCATCTATTCCACAGTCTCACAATAAACTTGCTCTTACTTTATGGAAATCTGCAGCTGAAAGGAGTCGTCCTGCTCTTTGTCTCCCGTCCAAACGCTAAGAGCATTTGTGCATGGCTACATGGTTGCATGGGATGGATCAGATCATTTTGTAGAAGCTAACCCCTTTTTGCTCCCTGAAAAAAAGTGTTTTCCATCAAATCAGCAGGCAAATTTATGTTGCCATGAACTCACTCATGGAGTTGGTAGATCTGGTTCAAGAAAGAAAACGTGAACGTGTAGCTGATAGTAGGGGAGAGAAGAACTATTGTGCATGGCTACATGGTTGCATGGGATGGATCAGATCATTTTGTAGAAGCTAACCCCTTTTTGCTCCCTGAAAAAAAGTGTTTTCCATCAAATCAGCAGGCAAATTTATGTTGCCATGAACTCACTCATGGAGTTGGTAGATCTGGTTCAAGAAAGAAAACGTGAACGTGTAGCTGATAGTAGGGGAGAGAAGAATGCTGCCATTTGGCAGCAGCTCACTTTTAGGCTGGATTAAGCATTTTGCAAGATTACGGTTTTAACAGGGATTTTTTGAATACTTTTCAAAAACTTCTTCAAAGGAGAAAAAGAGTAAAGCTCTCCATAGCCTGCCATTTCGTTCATTTAGCATATATATTTAAGAAGGATGCAAAGGAGATTCTTATCTGCACTCCCTTCAATATTGCTGTAATATTTAAATTTAATGCATGTATTTGCAGAGCTTTGTACTTTGAACACTAAAATATTTATAGTGTAGATTGAGATAAAGTGTCATCTTATATTTCTAAGTTTTTAAGTTAGCATTTCTTTTAATACTTTGTTCCTCGCAAGTCACTACTATCACAAAATGGAACAAAGTGGAAAAGAAATGGAAGTAAAAACAACTGGAAAGAAATTATCAAAAGAGGAAAAAAACACGCATTAAGACTTTCTGTGTTTTGAGAAGTATGTTATCTTATAAATTAGTATTCTATGGGGAAAAACTGAAATTTATGCTCAACATGTAAAAAATTATCTCAAAAAGGAAGTTATTTTAAATAGTCATACTGCAGTGGTATGTACTGTTCATCAGATCTTGTCCTCTAACTCAAAAAAATAAGTAAAAGTAGGAAATAAATTATAAAAGAGTATGTATGTACTTTTTCATTTCTTAGAATAATTTGTTTGCTGTCTTTCCAGCTACTGCCTTAGGACTGGACTTACATCATTTACAGCATCATAAGTCTCTAGCTGTATTGTATAAATGAAAAGTTAGAATACTAAACAGTATTAGATGTGGTTTTCTGATCTTTTGTAAGCACTTGCAGTTTCTCTATGCGGGTAGTTTCATTGCAATCGATTAACACACTTGCATGAGAGTGTGTGTCCACACACATATCTACACATTTTTCTATTGGCTCATAGAATTTACGGGCCAGAGAAACAAGTTCAGTCTAAAGTGACCGAACACTGGTAAGTTTCCTTTCCAGCCACTGATCTAATCACTGGTGGTGCTTGGACATTCCTGGAGTGTAAGGTGGCTAGTATGTCTTGCACAGTAAGCTAACGTTAAACAAGTTACCATGTAAAACTTCAAGTTTAGCCACTTTTGGATAGATACTGTAAGTACAATTTAAAATCAACAGCAGTGCTTGACTTGATAAAAGCATAGCTTGGTTTTAACTTGCTTTCAAAATGTCTCTATTTTTGTATAAGTTGAATTATTTGTGGGTTACTGCCTTGTTAGTGCATTTTCAAGTAATACAATTTTAAACCCAAATGTCTGAAATTCTTCTGTAATTTTGACAGGTAAATATTGGAAAAATGGATTCTCCCATTGAGAAATGGAACCTAATAATTGGCAATTTGGCCTTAAAACAGGTAAATATAATGGACTTACTTGATTAACTCTTGTAAGTGGGCAAAGTTACTGAAAAAGACCATCATAAACATTGGTAAGTATGGAGATGAACAGTGTTAATGGGAAACCAGCTTTACTATATTGGCTCATACTTAACATATAATGTTTGCATGACTGATTTTTTTTTTTGAACAGTGTAGTTCTCTAAACCAATATGAGCTTATATTTATCAGAAGAAGAGGTAAAGTATTCTTTGTGACTGTACCAAGGGTACACAAAAAAAAATTCCTTTTTAATTTTTCCGAGAGAGGATCTGAGCATGATTAGAGAAAAATTTCAGGTTTGGCAAAACCTTTTAAATTTGACCTCTCAAATGTTTTCAGTACTGTATTTGCGTTGGATTCAATGTTTAAAGGAAGTATGTGATGGAGCTTTTGGACAATAAACAGTATTTTAAATAGCTGGGTCATTTGAGGAATGTTTGTCCTCCAAAGCAACTATTTCTTAAGATTAAGAACTATTTCATGTTCATATGTTATAATACAACATGCTCAAAAAATAGGTGAAATGTTTATCCTGTGACTTCACTGTTTTAAGTGGCCTTAGGAGCCTCTTTAGGCATTTCAGCTTTGGATCCTGGCAAATCCTCAGCTCTTTTCCCTGATTTTACTTTTGTTATTCTTGAGCCTCTGAAATGCTGGTAAAGCCTTTTCTGCTGGCATAAGATTCTTCTCCTTGATCATCCAAGGTTATCATCATCTCTACAAAATGGATGAGCATCTTCCCTTTACACCTTGCAAATAAATGTAGATAGGAGGAAAGAATAACAGAAAATTATTCTGTAGTCCTTTTAAGTCTATCAATTATTTTAAGAATTTTTCACCATCTTTTTCTTTTCCAGGTTCAGGCAACAGTGGTTGGTTTTCTGGCAGCAGTGGCAGCAGTTATGCTGGGCTGGATTCCAGAAGGCAAATACCGCTTTGATCATTCAATCCTTCTGTGTTCTAGCAGTGTAGCAACCGCCTTCATAGCTTCTCTTTTACAAGGTAAAAGGAGTATATATGTTACTTTTTACAGTTATTTAGTTTTCTGTGGGTGATGAATGTATATTATGTTGCTAATCCTTAAAAATTTACATCCAGTAAGGTGTAATATGTCTGAAACACAGCTGAGGGTAGGACGCCCTTTTGCAATTTCCATACAGGCCTGCATATTGCATTCCTCTCCTGTCATATTCTTTGAAAAGGTTTGATTTGCATGACCTCCTGAGCATATCTAAAACAAAAAGTATGATTTTTAGATTTTGCCTAATATGATGGAGAACTTTTTTCCCCTGCTTTCTATATTCATTAATGTACAAAATATATTCTTAGTACTAAAGAGGTAGAACTTATTTGTAACTAAGCTCAAGTGGGCCTGGTTGTTAGCTCAGCTGAATCCAAACTCCCTGGTTGTCCATGCTGCATATTTGTTAGTTTTGTGTTCTGCTATGTATCTGAAGTGAACAAATTGGCTTGTTATGTGAAGGATTTGGGCCAAGTTCAGGTCCCCCTCTACAAACAGTGCCAATGTCTGTCTGGAGCCATATGGTGTGATGAATTTAATCTTCTCTTCCCATTTGTCAGGAAACATTTAACCATAAAAGAAGGTCCTTAATGGACATGAAGGGGGGAAAAAAAAAGTGCCTCTACTTGTGACATATTCTTAATGAAAATACATAGTCAGTAGTTAATAGTCAGTACTTAATAATAGTAAGTCAAGTAAAGTGTTTAACTTCCTTTTTTTACTAATTTGGTATGCTTACTTATGTGAAAATTACAAAATTGTTAAAGTTTTGCATGGAACTAAGAGCACACACTTTTTTTAGTGACTACAAAGCCATTGAGTTTGATCATGTGCAGAATTAAGAGCAGCAAGAGAACTGGGGAATATGACTGCATTTTTTCCACTTCTCATACATAATTTGGACACGAAGAGAAACTTTTGTTGTTATCTGGTGATGAGCCAGCACAGCAAATTGCTTTCTAAGCTTCATCCTCCAACATGTGAAACAGGTGCTTTTGAAATATTGTGATCCTGCAGGATCATTTCAGTTCTGTCTTTTGAGAATTTCATGGAGTGTAACTCTTTAGGCAGTTTCTCTGAAAGTGAACTCCTAATGTAGCCTACAATACATAATATTGCTAAAATATGTGAAAATTATAATACCAATTTTTCAAAAATTCTTTAACATAAAAGATAGTATACACAGTTGAAACTCTTATATGTATTATTTGATGAGAGGGAAATTACTCAGGTTATGCCAAAGACTGTTAATAACAATGTGAATTTTATTTTTAGTAGCCACTTGCATTCTGCAGGGAAATGCCTCTTAAAAAGGTAGTGTTGCTGTTTATAGGAAAAAAACAGAAACCAATATCCCTAATTTAAAATTCTTTTACTGTGTAGCAAGTAACATTTTTATATATTGTCTTGGTTTTAATTTATGATGTAGCTTCTTGATGTTTGGTGCTAAGTCCATGACTGAAAATCTTTCACAATATCAGATGTCAAAGTATTTAATCTTATGTTGTTTTCAGCCTAGTGTAATTTAAATTTCAGTCAGCTAAAGTTAAGAGGGTGTAGAAATAATACACTGCATATCTTTTTCTTCAGGAAATGGCTGATTTATAATATCAATAGTGCAAATTCTAATCATAAGCAAAATAGTTTATTGTACAGAAGGTTCTTGATTTTTTTTTTTGGTGTGCTTACTGTATTTTTTTAGTCTATAACCTCATTTTTAAAAATGGCTAAAACTTAAAAATACAGACATCAGTCAGGTGGGAAGAACACTCATCCTGGGACAAAAGCACTGATTTCGTATTTATCAAGTTTGAAATTGCCATTATCTTGGAATTTTCTGTGGAGTTACAACAGTAGATATGGTTACTGTACTGTCGTCTTTGTTGAATCTAGGTATAATAATGGTTGGAGTTATTGTTGGATCAAAGAAGACTGGTATTAATCCTGACAACGTTGCCACTCCTATAGCAGCAAGTTTTGGAGATCTTATCACTCTTGCTATACTAGCATGGATAAGTCAGGGTCTTTATACTTGCCTTGGTAAGTATGTTTCTAAGTGTATATGTCTCCCTAGGAACCTCTTTTGGGTTAGGAGGGTGGGGAGAAGGCAGGGAGGGAAAGGTTTAGAAAACCTTTTAGTTTGACTGACTTTTTTGTCAACATTTATATTGTCGGATGATAAATCTTGGCTTGCAACATTATGCCATAATATTTTTTTTTCTTTTTTTTTTCTTTTTTTTTTTTCTTTTTTTAAGATGATAGAAGTCACTAACCACAATCTTGGCATGATCTACTAATATCTGAAAGACTCTCACAGTATCACAGTCAATCTTACATGTGAATTAGAAACTATAGTTACTGAATTTACTTTGCTTTCTTGTGGGGGGGAGGGAAGCTGTATTCATCCAAGTTTTCTTGAATGCCCACCCCTAAATCAAATATTTGCTTCCCAGAGCCCTTTTGAATTGTTCTCCCCTTGTACTAAGGGGAAGGAGTTGAACTGGCTATCTTGATAAGCTGCTGGGAGAGGAGTTCTGCTTTGAGAATTTTTTTTTTTTAGGGTGTGGTTTTAGACACCGTTCAAATATATCTTGAGCTGCAGCTATGCCCAGAAATCAAAATAAAAATAATTTAAGTAATTTGAGTAACAATAGCAAGTCTACAACAAGTATGTATTCAAAGAAGTGAAGCCTAATTTTGGATAGATTTGGGCTTTGTGATTGCTATGACTTTCAAATGAGTTACGCAGACTATTGTGAGTTTCCTTCTGATTCCTTCCAAGTGCTTTTCCAGTGCTTTTTCCCATTGCAATACCTTCTTGTTTCCTCATCTCCCCTACTCCAGCTTCCAATACCAGTTTCCTCAGCTCTTTCCTATCTCGTTTCCCTCGCAGTGTGACACTTCATGTCTCCCTCCTGCTCCCTGCGCCTGTGCTTGATTTTACCAGCGTTCCCTTCTGCTTTTCAGTAAACGAAGTAACCACTTCCAGCTTCTCCAAATAATGGCCCTGCTCACTTCCGTTTTCTTTGTTTTGTTTTGTCTTATAAATTTGGTGACTATATGTCAAACATAAATCTGCTAATTTAGCTGTAGCTTTCTTCAGAACAGCAGTTCTGCCATGAAAGATGAAAAAATGTATAACCACTCTGAATAGCTAAGCAGCAAAGGAGAGGCCTTCTCTGACTGCTGACTACAGAGGGCAATGATCTAATCCTACTTCATGCATGAATTCTATCTGGCTTCTTGATGACAGTTTTTTACTGTTTGCTTATTTTCCCACTAATAGCCTTGAACAGGTGAATTACACATAAACAGCTCCAAACTAATTTTCTTATGAATGACTTTTTTTTTCAGTCTGCAGTTCTTCTCTTCTACTAGTTATGTGCATGTTTCTATAGTCCCTTTGAAACTGTTTTTCTGATTTCTAGGACCTGTACTGTCTAAATCCTACTCTCTTAAAGGAGCAGACCACTGAAGAAGGTTCATGATCACAATGTCTGCTAAAAATGAATATGCCTATAATTATTATTATTATTAGAAGCATGCTCAGATAGCAGCTGATGTAATGAAATGCTTGGTTGTCACAAAGGAGATGTGAGCTTGGGAAATGAGAATGAGGAACTCAAAAATCAGTCTTTTTCTTTCTGTTTCTTCATCTCCCCCGTGAAGAAACAAAAAGTGTGAAAGCATTTTCTTATAAGAGGAGAAGAATGTTCAGAACAATATTTAAAATTAAATTATTGCTGCAACTGACTCCTTCCATGGAAACTATTTAAAGTATATTGTGTTTCAAAAGATGTAATTGTAGACAATTATAGTATAGTATACCACAGGCCAAATTTTGTGTTGTCCATAATTCTTTTACCAGACATGTTGATATCACCACATACATTCTTTACATCTATGCTCATTGTTCAAGCCTTTTGAAGTTACTGAAAAAGACCATCATAAACATTGGTAAGTATGGAGATGGACAGTGTTAATGGGAAACCAGCTTTACTATATTGGCTCATACTTAACATATAATGTTTGCATGACTGATTTTTTTTTTTGAACAGTGTAGTTCTCTAAAACAATATGAGCTTATATTTATCAGAAGAAGAGGTAAAGTATTCTTTGTGACTGTACCAAGGGTACACAAAAAAAAATTCCTTTTTAATTTTTCCGAGAGAGGATCTGAGCATGATTAGAGAAAAATTTCAGGTTTGGCAAAACCTTTTAAATTTGACCTCTCAAATGTTTTCAGTACTGTATTTGCGTTGGATTCAATGTTTAAAGGAAGTATGTGATGGAGCTTTTGGACAATAAACAGTATTTTAAATAGCTGGGTCATTTGAGGAATGTTTGTCCTCCAAAGCAACTATTTCTTAAGATTAAGAACTATTTCATGTTCATATGTTATAATACAACATGCTCAAAAAATAGGTGAAATGTTTATCCTGTGACTTCACTGTTTTAAGTGGCCTTAGGAGCCTCTTTAGGCATTTCAGCTTTGGATCCTGGCAAATCCTCAGCTCTTTTCCCTGATTTTACTTTTGTTATTCTTGAGCCTCTGAAATGCTGGTAAAGCCTTTTCTGCTGGCATAAGATTCTTCTCCTTGATCATCCAAGGTTATCATCATCTCTACAAAATGGATGAGCATCTTCCCTTTACACCTTGCAAATAAATGTAGATAGGAGGAAAGAATAACAGAAAATTATTCTGTAGTCCTTTTAAGTCTATCAATTATTTTAAGAATTTTTCACCATCTTTTTCTTTTCCAGGTTCAGGCAACAGTGGTTGGTTTTCTGGCAGCAGTGGCAGCAGTTATACTGGGCTGGATTCCAGAAGGCAAATACCGCTTTGATCATTCAATCCTTCTGTGTTCTAGCAGTGTAGCAACCGCCTTCATAGCTTCTCTTTTACAAGGTAAAAGGAGTATATATGTTACTTTTTACAGTTATTTAGTTTTCTGTGGGTGATGAATGTATATTATGTTGCTAATCCTTAAAAATTTACATCCAGTAAGGTGTAATATGTCTGAAACACAGCTGAGGGTAGGACGCCCTTTTGCAATTTCCATACAGGCCTGCATATTGCATTCCTCTCCTGTCATATTCTTTGAAAAGGTTTGATTTGCATGACCTCCTGAGCATATCTAAAACAAAAAGTATGATTTTTAGATTTTGCCTAATATGATGGAGAACTTTTTTCCCCTGCTTTCTATATTCATTAATGTACAAAATATATTCTTAGTACTAAAGAGGTAGAACTTATTTGTAACTAAGCTCAAGTGGGCCTGGTTGTTAGCTCAGCTGAATCCAAACTCCCTGGTTGTCCATGCTGCATATTTGTTAGTTTTGTGTTCTGCTATGTATCTGAAGTGAACAAATTGGCTTGTTATGTGAAGGATTTGGGCCAAGTTCAGGTCCCCCTCTACAAACAGTGCCAATGTCTGTCTGGAGCCATATGGTGTGATGAATTTAATCTTCTCTTCCCATTTGTCAGGAAACATTTAACCATAAAAGAAGGTCCTTAATGGACATGAAGGGGGGAAAAAAAAAGTGCCTCTACTTGTGACATATTCTTAATGAAAATACATAGTCAGTAGTTAATAGTCAGTACTTAATAATAGTAAGTCAAGTAAAGTGTTTAACTTCCTTTTTTTACTAATTTGGTATGCTTACTTATGTGAAAATTACAAAATTGTTAAAGTTTTGCATGGAACTAAGAGCACACACTTTTTTTAGTGACTACAAAGCCATTGAGTTTGATCATGTGCAGAATTAAGAGCAGCAAGAGAACTGGGGAATATGACTGCATTTTTTCCACTTCTCATACATAATTTGGACACGAAGAGAAACTTTTGTTGTTATCTGGTGATGAGCCAGCACAGCAAATTGCTTTCTAAGCTTCATCCTCCAACATGTGAAACAGGTGCTTTTGAAATATTGTGATCCTGCAGGATCATTTCAGTTCTGTCTTTTGAGAATTTCATGGAGTGTAACTCTTTAGGCAGTTTCTCTGAAAGTGAACTCCTAATGTAGCCTACAATACATAATATTGCTAAAATATGTGAAAATTATAATACCAATTTTTCAAAAATTCTTTAACATAAAAGATAGTATACACAGTTGAAACTCTTATATGTATTATTTGATGAGAGGGAAATTACTCAGGTTATGCCAAAGACTGTTAATAACAATGTGAATTTTATTTTTAGTAGCCACTTGCATTCTGCAGGGAAATGCCTCTTAAAAAGGTAGTGTTGCTGTTTATAGGAAAAAAACAGAAACCAATATCCCTAATTTAAAATTCTTTTACTGTGTAGCAAGTAACATTTTTATATATTGTCTTGGTTTTAATTTATGATGTAGCTTCTTGATGTTTGGTGCTAGACTGAAGACTGAAAATCTTTCACAATATCAGATGTCTTAATCTTATCTTGGAATTTTCTGTGGAAACAGTAGATTTTCTTGATTTTTTTTTTTGCTGTGCTTACTGTATTTTTTTAGTCTATAACCTCATTTTTAAAAATGGCTAAAACTTAAAAATACAGACATCAGTCAGGTGGGAAGAACACTCATCCTGGGACAAAAGCACTGATTTCGTATTTATCAAGTTTGAAATTGCCATTATCTTGGAATTTTCTGTGGAGTTACAACAGTAGATATGGTTACTGTACTGTCGTCTTTGTTGAATCTAGGTATAATAATGGTTGGAGTTATTGTTGGATCAAAGAAGACTGGTATTAATCCTGACAACGTTGCCACTCCTATAGCAGCAAGTTTTGGAGATCTTATCACTCTTGCTATACTAGCATGGATAAGTCAGGGTCTTTATACTTGCCTTGGTAAGTATGTTTCTAAGTGTATATGTCTCCCTAGGAACCTCTTTTGGGTTAGGAGGGTGGGGAGAAGGCAGGGAGGGAAAGGTTTAGAAAACCTTTTAGTTTGACTGACTTTTTTGTCAACATTTATATTGTCGGATGATAAATCTTGGCTTGCAACATTATGCCATAATATTTTTTTCTTTTTTTTTTCTTTTTTTTTTTTTCTTTTTTTAAGATGATAGAAGTCACTAACCACAATCTTGGCATGATCTACTAATATCTGAAAGACTCTCACAGTATCACAGTCAATCTTACATGTGAATTAGAAACTATAGTTACTGAATTTACTTTGCTTTCTTGTGGGGGGGAGGGAAGCTGTATTCATCCAAGTTTTCTTGAATGCCCACCCCTAAATCAAATATTTGCTTCCCAGAGCCCTTTTGAATTGTTCTCCCCTTGTACTAAGGGGAAGGAGTTGAACTGGCTATCTTGATAAGCTGCTGGGAGAGGAGTTCTGCTTTGAGAATTTTTTTTTTTTAGGGTGTGGTTTTAGACACCGTTCAAATATATCTTGAGCTGCAGCTATGCCCAGAAATCAAAATAAAAATAATTTAAGTAATTTGAGTAACAATAGCAAGTCTACAACAAGTATGTATTCAAAGAAGTGAAGCCTAATTTTGGATAGATTTGGGCTTTGTGATTGCTATGACTTTCAAATGAGTTACGCAGACTATTGTGAGTTTCCTTCTGATTCCTTCCAAGTGCTTTTCCAGTGCTTTTTCCCATTGCAATACCTTCTTGTTTCCTCATCTCCCCTACTCCAGCTTCCAATACCAGTTTCCTCAGCTCTTTCCTATCTCGTTTCCCTCGCAGTGTGACACTTCATGTCTCCCTCCTGCTCCCTGCGCCTGTGCTTGATTTTACCAGCGTTCCCTTCTGCTTTTCAGTAAACGAAGTAACCACTTCCAGCTTCTCCAAATAATGGCCCTGCTCACTTCCGTTTTCTTTGTTTTGTTTTGTCTTATAAATTTGGTGACTATATGTCAAACATAAATCTGCTAATTTAGCTGTAGCTTTCTTCAGAACAGCAGTTCTGCCATGAAAGATGAAAAAATGTATAACCACTCTGAATAGCTAAGCAGCAAAGGAGAGGCCTTCTCTGACTGCTGACTACAGAGGGCAATGATCTAATCCTACTTCATGCATGAATTCTATCTGGCTTCTTGATGACAGTTTTTTACTGTTTGCTTATTTTCCCACTAATAGCCTTGAACAGGTGAATTACACATAAACAGCTCCAAACTAATTTTCTTATGAATGACTTTTTTTTTCAGTCTGCAGTTCTTCTCTTCTACTAGTTATATGCATGTTTCTATAGTCCCTTTGAAACTGTTTTTCTGATTTCTAGGACCTGTACTGTCTAAATCCTACTCTCTTAAAGGAGCAGACCACTGAAGAAGGTTCATGATCACAATGTCTGCTAAAAATGAATATGCCTATAATTATTATTATTATTAGAAGCATGCTCAGATAGCAGCTGATGTAATGAAATGCTTGGTTGTCACAAAGGAGATGTGAGCTTGGGAAATGAGAATGAGGAGCTCAAAAATCAGTCTTTTTCTTTCTGTTTCTTCATCTCCCCCGTGAAGAAACAAAAAGTGTGAAAGCATTTTCTTATAAGAGGAGAAGAATGTTCAGAACAATATTTAAAATTAAATTATTGCTGCAACTGACTCCTTCCATGGAAACTCCTTAAAGTATATTGTGTTTCAAAAGATGTAATTGTAGACAATTATAGTATAGTATACCACAGGCCAAATTTTGTGTTGTCCATAATTCTTTTACCAGACATGTTGATATCACCACATACATTCTTTACATCTATGCTCATTGTTCAAGCCTTTTTATGTAAAAATTTGAGCTGTTCTGTGTAAGTACTACAACATCAGTCAGAAAAGGTACCTAATAAGACTTAAGCTACCTTGGTGTGACTTGCCGTTTTGTTTCTTAGTTTTCAACTGATGATTTTATATTTTCAGTATTTGATTTTGCATATTTAGAAAGTGTTGACATGATGTCAGCTTAAATTATCAGTGTGGCAACCCAGCCATTTTTAATATTTTCTGTATTTTTTAAAATTTAAATTGTATTGTTTATTTCATAACTATATTTAAAAACTTTATATTATCTTCTAATAACTTATTTTTCAAATACTTCCTTTAGATACTTCTTTTAAGGAAGTTTATAGACTTACAGTGAAAAGAAAATTAGTAAAGATTTTTTTAACCTCTCTTCTTTCTTTTCTCCTGATGAGAAGATCAGAGAGGAAGCCTCTATTCTCATGAAATTTGGTGTCTCTAGCTAATGCTAGGACTGGGATAATAATTAGAGTTTAGCTCATTAGAGACTGTTTATCTAGATTTATTGCTATGCCCAAAAGTCTTACTAGACTGGAACATTGGGATATTCTGCTTAAAATAGCTTTCAGGTCCCAACAATTGATACATTTCATTGGAATTCAGTTAAAAATTAGGGTTTATGCTAGTCAATGAAGTACCAGGGAAGTTGGTATACCAGCTAGATGGAAAAGAATTATCTAGGAGAGAGTTAGCTAGGATGATTGACATATACTAGCTATCTGGGTAGGTGTGGAGTTGGAAGAGGTTGCCAAATTTGGGTTAACACTGAGATTAGATTTGGGACTAGGCTTATGATTAAAATTTATTCTAGTCAGGACTGTGTCTCATTTAAAATAATTAATGCTCGACTTCAGGCTTTAGTTAACTAGTACTAGTAAGTATTTCAAATGAAGTTTCTTAGAAACTTATGCCCTATAGGTCAAACTCCATTTTGGTTTTTAAAATTTTGCTTTGTAAACTACATTGTAATGAATAGGCCAGTGATTTTTCATTTGTTTCCTAAACCTTTTCCCTACAAATATTAGTTTCTTATGTATTTGCATTGTAATGTTCTCTATATAATTGCCTAAGTTGAACCCATATGACTCAAAGACAGTAAATCGTTAATACTGAGTCTTACTGTTTTTAAACAGCTTCCTCTACTCCGTTCCATTTCTTTTAAATTGTGGCCACAGGCAAAACTTAGTTACATGTGCTGGCATTTTAATAGTAGCTGGATTTTAATAGTAGCTACATTTGTCACTTGTAAATAAACAACATATATTATTTTGTGAATATATCTAGTACTGCTTCCTATGCTTTATATAAATTACAGGTAATATGTTTCCTTTTTTTAAAGGAGTAACTAATTACTACTAATATTTCAGTTTCTCCTAAAACATGCTTTTTTTTTGCTTTTTTGCTTTTTTTTTTAATCTAAAAAAACAAACAAAAGCACTCAACCCCAAAAAGAAGGAGGAAAGAAACTTGGACTTCTTTCTTCCTTTCACACATTTCCAGAAATTTACATCTCTAGTTAGTTTATTCCTCCGAGATACATTAGGCCATCTGTAACTAGAGATGTATCTCGGAGGAATAAAAAAAGAAGTGGGGCCAGTTTGAACTGATCCTTTGCTACTTTTACAGCTCTCTTGGCCACTCATATTTTAGTCAGACACTGCAGCTGGAAAGCAGATCCCACATGTGTACAGGGAAGGATTAGTGCACTCAAGTACGCTTCAAAGAGTTACTCCCAATTTTCTTTCTATATGGTCTTCTGGAAATACTTCTCTTTTGGTGATATATGTAATTATCTAGTTACCGCTAAAATGGCTGCTTCTGCTCTATATTTTTTTATAATGTCTTTGTATTTCTTTCTCTTAGGAAACAGAGAGTCTTTCTAAGGTAGGAACATACCACAAAGCCCTTGGAAACGTGTGGTTTCCAAGATGCATGTATTTGAACTATGAAATAGTAACAAGGAGTAAAAGTATGGAGTAGCTTCAGCTCAGGAGAAGTATACAAAGTTGTGAATGGCAAGGAAGAGGCATTTGGAAAATGATTAGGCAACGGATTAAAAAAAAGTTAAAGAAACTTTTTTCCACAGTACCTGATTGGGATGTGGAACTTACTGCCATGATGTATTAAGAGGACCAAAGTGATTTTAGAAAACTATTTGGATAAATTAATCAGAGAAGAATCCGTTGAGGAGTATTGAACAGACAGATGCAGACAGAGACTTGAGTGATGAAATCCCTGAGGCAAACAGCAGCAGAAGCCGGCAGAGCACACTGGAAGAAGCATTACTCTAAACTTGTCATTTTCTTTTCTTTTTTCCACAAGCCTGAACTGTTGACCATAGTCAGACACAGGATACTGGACTAGATGAGACCTTTGGCCTCACCCAGCATGGATGTTCTTATGTTCTCTCTGTCGCTTCCTGCTTTCTCAATGCTAGAATAACAAGCACAATGGGAACGTTATAAAGAAACCCCCAGTTTATGGGCTAGTAATGAAGCAGGTGGGATTCACCTCTGAACTGTGTTCTGAATTAACTATTTTCCCTGTGATTTATTAGCCTAACTACTCACATGTACTGAAACAAAAGTGTAAGTTTCTGGTTTCTCTCTGCATGGGAAGAGTTGTTTTCAGATAACGAGACTGGAAGGGGGGAAATGAATTATGTACAAGCTTTATGCTTGTCTGTAACAGAGTTGTACACCTGTACTCAGCCTTTGGTTTGATACGATGCTTCATGGCATACCCAGAAGAGGTAGGGAAAAAGGATTGTAGCATTTTTACCTAGGCTAGGGCCAAATGAAACATCTTGTTTGGCCACCATCATATATATAATTTCTTAGAAGTTCATCTGAGTGTTTTAAAAATAATGGCAAAGCCCTCAAATATGGGGATTTAAATAGCAAAAGGTTAACAGTTCTTTCTGCCTTAACAGTTCCCTTAAAAGAAGTGGATCTGTGAATCGTTGTTAAATAGCTGGGGGAAAGCACTAGAGGGCTCCCCAGGACCGTCACTGGGACCCGGCTCCGGTTCCTCGACCAGAAAGCAGGGAATGCTTTGGAATAGGAAGGCCCAGTATATTAAATGTGGAGGTCCGCGTTGCTTGTCATTTGTCAGTAATGATCTGAAGACTTCGTTTAAAGCTTTCCTTTTTTCTCACAGAACGTGGCTTAAACATGTGCATTTATCTCTCGTGCATGTTAGATCCGTGTTGAGAAGACAAATTGTGTCATTCACATTGTTATTTTCAGGTTCCTACCAGTTGCTTTGAAGTAGTTTATTTCCAATTTGCCTCTAATTCCTACTAGAGGTTGCATTGTTTTCAGTGGCACTGCACTGAACAGTATGTCACAGTAGATACCCTGCACAACGAGTAAAACATTAAGCATCTGAGTTCTCTGAACGAGAAGATTAATTTGTGTCACTATTTACTAAAGGGATGAGGTCTTAAAGTAAATGAAGATCAGTAAAGGCTCAGTTGAGAACCTTGTCTCTTTCCTCTTCCCTCCTTCCTTTTTTAATTTAAGGTCACAGTTAGAAGTTCATTGAAGAGTTGAGTGGTTTTGGGAGTTGATCTTCCACTGTTGAATGGTACAAACTCTGTCGCAGAGCCAGGCTGAGTGAGATTCCTTATACTGTGTAAGCTACCTGCTATAAATCTATCAAAAATGGAGTGAAGTGAGCCCTAAAAGAGGAGTCATTTATTCCCTCTTCCCGTTCTCCAGCTATTGTAGAATCCATTTTCTTCTTCTGTGAATTATGTATGAAGAGGAAGATGGCCCACCCTTCCTCAAAAGATGCATCTCAAGGTTGATGCCTTTTTAGATTCTTATAGTAAGCTGTTCTACAAGTAGTCTCCCCCATAGCTTAAAAAAAAAAAAAAAAAAAAAGAGTCCTG